TCGACTGGTTACAAATACATGTGGAATAACTGTTTTATAACCTGGCGACCATTTTTTAATATCGCTACCAAACAACCACGATTTGAATCGCGTGACCTGATTTTTTATATATTCCTATTACAGATGTTTATTAATGAACTGCATTAAAGCTGAGCTTACATGTAAGTTCACACGTGACCTTAATGGGCCATCATAGACCTTAAAAGATTTGCAATGTTGTTTGAATTTTGTTATGAGATTAGCTAGAAATGTCTTTAGTATTTCTGGATACAATACTTTTAACATTGGTTAGTTTTTACTCTACCAAAAATAAACGATTTTCTCATTTAAGGTAGTGATTTTAATACCTGCACAAACTGATAAAAAATCTAGGTATATTTTAACAACTACTCAGTTGACTAAAAATGTGTATCGATAAAGCACGTTTTCAGAAAAAAGTGTAAAACAAGCTTTGAGAAGTTTAAATTGGTCCACAGGTTACGAAGATGTTGAATAACAATTTTACAACCTGACAGCTATTTTTTAAAATCGAGGCCAAGCGACCACGATTTGAATCGCTTGACCATATGTTTTATATACTCCTAATGGCCCATATTATATGTATGTCACTTTTGGTCCAACCTTGAGGTGACCAACTTATCACATCGAAGGCATCGAAGTCCGTTGCTTAAGAAACCCATAACGATAACAAGATTTTGCATCGTCTCAACTATCCGTACTACATTAACTATTAACATTACATTAAAACCAGAGCAACAAGGGAGTGTAAATGTTACTACACGCTTGAACTTGTCCCTCTAACATGTGTCGGATTTGGGGGACGGAAATGAGGGATCGAGTTGATATTAACGTTGTCCAGCAGTGACCGCCAGTGTTACCTTTCATGCTCCTTATGACGTTCCCGTTACGAAATACTGGTAGTACCAAACTGTATGCCGATGATTGGAAAAGCTTCGTCAAAACTCGTATCGCGCCCAATCGTAATCTTTCGATTCCTTATGCTGGATCAGAAGAACAGCGTCTGTTCAGAATCTTTCACTGATCCGTTGAATTTTTCTCATCTGAAGGCGCGATAGAGTCGGAAAAGCAGCTTCTTGGATGAAACGGCAATATCTACTCTATCGAGATCTATATGACTCAACCGTACCAAAATACCTTCGGAAACACCCCTGGCTGCCGATATCTCCAGCAGTATGACGGGGAAGGTTGACTGGTGGCTGCGAGGGTTGACCTCTCACGTGTATAGTCAGCTGCCCCGGCGGACTGCAGCAATTAAAGGTCGCCAAGCAGGGCTCGTTAAAGACCAATTGGTACACGACGACGATGTCAGCTTTCATGGATCGATTGATTGTAATACCGAGGCTTTCGGGACATAACCCCTTTCATATTGTAATTTCGTTTTGTCGCTATCTGAGCGGGATGAAACAAGATTTCATTCATGTAGGTTGGTCAATAGATCTCAACGACCACTGCATAGGGCCTTTATGGCAATATTAGTATTTTTAATGCTTCTTTAAGATGAAAAAATGTAACCCTATTTGATATCGATAAAATGGACCGTTCTTGAGAAAAAACACTCTTCAGTTCTATACTGATTACTCTATATTAAGCCGCATACAGACATCGCAAGGCGTGCGTACGCAAGTAACACCCGTCCGCCCACACGGAGTGCAGGGCTCGCGCTGAGGCGGCGTTCGCAACGATCGTATGACGCGAATGCTCACTGTGAGTATACACGTCCACAGGCATGCGACGCACGCCTCGCGATGTGTGTATGCGCCTTTAGAAACATAGTAATTCTGATAACAGTTTCGTAACTAGTGACTTGAAAAACGCCAGGCTATAAATAATCAGATCATTTGATTAGGTTTTAGATTTTCAAGTCAGACCTAAGCAGAGCAGCGGAGTGGCTGCAGTAAAAATCGGTAAGAACAGTACTTAGACAAGACTGTGTCAAAAATGGCTCTGTTTTTACAGCTGTCTCGTGCTTTATGGCTACTCCTCGGAATGGTCTAGGCTTGGGTCTATAGGTCAACGAACGAAACTATACATTATACAAAGCGCCATCTACTACTGCGAAACAGTGAATCACAGCCAACTGGTTGGGACTGTATACAGGGTGTCCGCAAAGTTGGGGTTTTCCTTTACACGACGTGTAGATCTTGAAAACATAAGCAATTTTTCTTAGTACCATATACACCAATGTCTTAAGGGAACCGAGATAAAGGGCTCTGCAACATCAAAAATATCTGAATCCTGTAGCCGCGACATCACCGACTGGTACAAGGTCACTGGCTCAACCCGACGACAGAACTGGGTCAGGGTCAGTGTGTCAGGTCAGTATGCAACCTTCAACCGACGGTTACGGTCACGCGTGTAGAGGTAATCGCGTAGACGAGAATCCCTCAACAAGCACTAGAGACGTGGCTAGAGAAGTGCAAGTATCAAAAACTAAAGTGTGGCAAACGCTGCGTGAAGAGGGGCTGTATCCGTTTCACGTCCAACGTGTACAAGCCCTTCAACCTGACGATTTTCGAGCAAGAGTGCGGTTTTGTGAGTGGTTGTTGCATCAACATGACAACAATCCGGACTTTTTGAAGTGCGTATTGGTGACAGACGAATCTACGTTCACGCGTAATGGGATGAATAACTTTCGCAACACTCATGTTTGGTCAGTAGAAAATCCGCACGCTGTCCGTCGGGCACATTTTCAACAAACATTTCCGGTGAATGTTTGGGCTGGCATGGTGAACGATATGCTCATTGGACCATTTATTCTCCCAAATCGATTGGACAGGATGCAATACCTAGACTTTTTACGCAACATTTTGTCTTCCTTGTTAGAAGATGTGCCATTAAGTGTAAGACAATCAATGTCGTTTCTGCGTCTGCTCGGTAGCGCATCAGCAGATTTCATTTTTTGTTGGAGCGGTATGATTTCGGGCAGAGACGTAGTTAGCCCTTCTCGTCAACTGGAGAGTGAATACTTTTTCCTTTATTTTTTTTTACTTGGTCGCCCTCATTTCACTACACATTACCTTTGTTATTTCAAGGGTAGTTGATTCTGAAAAGAAAAACCCCAACTTTGCGGACACCCTGTAGATCTGGGTCCGCGAATTGGAGGCCCAGTCGCCACGTGACCGTTAGATGGCGACGATTCTAGCTGTGTAGACGATGTGGTCTACTCGCTATTTTACAAAATAAAAAGCACGAAACAGCCGTGCTTTTTATCTACTCTTCAGCATGGTCTAGGGCACCCTGTATAAAAGGTGTTCGCTAGACATGGGGCAATATTCGAGTAGTGATACTTTGGACCTTCTGTAACACTTGGCTATTTTGGAAAATCGCTTTGCTTCCAAGATACAGAACCAGTAGATTTTCATACTAGCATAAATCACTCGAAGCTTTGAATCAAAATATGTTCAAAATAACTACCTCCAGCTTGAACGCCGTCCATCTTCTCCTCATAGACTACCTAACTCTTTCAAATACATCAAGGTCAATGTTCTGTCCAAACTGAATGTTTTCTACCGCGAACATCGAGGGTATTTTCGCATAGTGCCACCTTATTTGGGTTACTCGCATTAAGAGCCACCCTACTTGGAGTGCCCGCTTTAAAACCATGAGGTGAAAGAAGAGCTAACGCCAGCAAAGGACCCCAAGAGTCTAGAAACAGGGATCGAAGAGGACCCTAAGGATTAAAGAAAAGACGAGGGGCATCAGGTGGTTGGAAAAAGCATTTTTCACGTACTGTTGAATTTTTAACATTAAATGTATGCAAATCTCTCAGCCGCTTCAGTGTCGGAGATGGATTTCCTGGAGAGACTTAAAAGTGTACATATCTTTTACAGACATGCTGTTGTGGTGTGTTGAATAAACGTTAAATGTCTTAAACCAAGTACTCTCATGGAACATGATGTTGCAGATTTTGGACATTCCTACAGTCATACGAGATGAGGCAGGGGACGGTTTGAAAATTATTAGCCGTGAATCTTGAGGAAATAGTTAGGTTTAGAAGCAAAAAGTAGCACTTCCGTAATTTTTTATACGTTTAGGCAGTAACTTAAATACCGAGACACCGCGACTGCTATAACGAACTTAAAACACATTATTAATTCGATTGTTGAATTGCCTAAGGTTAACAGAACTCCCCAGGCAGATTAGTCCATTAACCTCGCCACTCTAGGAACAGAGAAGCAGCCATACTGACCAGTTCTGAGTATAGAAAGTTTGGCAGGCTTCACAAGCAGAGCTGTGAATCGGATTGATCTTATAGAAGAGGAGGTCGTTGAAACCCAAAAAAAAAACAGTATTGAATAAAAATACCCGCGTTGATATTGTGGGATGAAGAGGAGAACCCGTAAATTACGATGGCATAGGATGGAAGTTTGTATAAGAGCGCAGCATACCTTAGCTGATCGAAAGCTTTCGTGATATCAGGAGTAGCGGCATGAACCTCGCCATATCACTGGATATGTATATTATTCCAGACTTGTATGAAGCTCGTAAAGTGAAATTAGGAGGAACTTTCAACGAACTGTGGAGCTTTAACGCGTAATTCTAGCTTAGTCCTTGGTCTAATTTACCTAAACCTGAGATTGGAAAATTTTAGAGCTGGTCATTCTCGCATTGATAACCAAGACAAAAGCAATATGTTAATATAGAATAAACATCTAATTTAATTGAGGATATAATAGCAATAGTAAGTTCGTAGTAAAGCTTGCCACCCACTTTGTACAATGGATTACCTTCTTTCCATTTTTGAATTTACTTAGCGGTATGTATTTGAGGTATAAACTAACGTTTTTCAATTTATCAACAAATAGAAAGCTTGAAACACGAGACGTGAATAAATACTTCAGAATTTAAGATATGCTCATACACGTTATTTCTCTAGATTACATGCTGCCACTTCGTAAACTAGATGATATACTATATTTTATTATAAGTTCCTTATCTGCGAAGGTTTTACCTTAAATATATTTATTACTCGTTAGCTTTCATTATTTGATTTTCTCCTTATCTCCAGAATGTTCAACCTCATTAGCTTAGCATTAAAATATCAACAGCACCTGCTCGTGATCGAACGTGCAAACTTATATCCAGTGTGTCAGTACTTAGAACTTAAGTACACAATCAAAGGGAAACAAAGGGCAAGTTTGGAATGGTTTCAGTGAAAAATATTCTCTTGGGATTAGTTACTAGATAAGAAAAAATAAGGTGAGTAATACAACTAGCATGAATTCTGATGACTACAGTACCCATTCGTGATTCACCAATTCATTGTCATGTTATCATATGATTATGATCCTAGCGTATGCGTTTTTACGCAGGTTGCTGAAGTTATAACAGCTTCCCTTTCGCTTAAAAAAATAAAACCAAGTTTTGGGGGAATTATGCAGGTAGAATAAGTGACAAAAACCATGTCACAATGATTTTCTTGGATATGAGTATATCTAATAATGTAAAGACTTGATAAATCCAAAAGCATTTTGTTATGATGTCATTGCTCTTAAAAATATATTAAGTTCAATTGAATGATCTAGCGACATAAAAAAATGAAACATTATTACCACTTTTTAGCGTTTTACTGGCTACGGATCTGGAGAGTTTTTTGCATTAACACTAAGTTGTTTTTAAAGCAGTGTCAAAATGTACACATTAAAGTTGAGTGAAAATGCCATTGTTTTCTTATAAACTGTTAAAATAGTTGTCTTAAAATGTTTGGTAAATTTTATATATATCTTTTTAACCAGTTGGCTAGAATATGATCGTTCTAAAATACTACAAAACGTCATAAATATACTTCACTAATATTTTTGTAATATCCACATGATGCCTGAACGAAAGCAAAAATAATTTCCGCAATAATAAGACTCTACTGAACTATTTATAAGTTAATGTCGCGTCGGGTTTCCTATAGGTTCGCCCTGGAAAGTACGTACCTTCATTTTAATGTAAAATTCATACCTTCATACCATATGGCCCACCAACCCCTCTGTCAAAGGGTGAAGGGTTTTTCAGCTATGACCTGATGAAATAAATGTGAAGGAACTCATGAATAATGTAAACATGCCAGAACCGTTTTTAAGCAATTACGACCCGAGCTAAGTTTGTAATGCCACTTTTGGTATTTCCAAGAGCAAAAAATGTACTCATCAGTAATTATGTAGGCACTCCAAACCACTTTCATGTCGATTTACAATTTACAGCAGACATTTTTTTTGTTTTTCCATTGAAGTTTGTGCCTCTCGTCACGTCGATGCTAAAATAAACATTTTTTAAATGGAATTCCCTGTATGTTTTGGTTTATTCTGAAAGGCACCTTCAAAGAACAAACGTTGATATACTAATGACTAGGGTTTGGTTCGTTAATTGTGGGGCTAGGGGATATTTTGTCCGAAAAACACTCAACTTTGACAGCTTGTAGATATTGTAGCAACCTGTTCGACAAGATGGGATTCTGTGTAGGGTGTAAACGCAAAGTGTGCTTTTTCTCAAATTGAAAAGGAACACATTGTATATTTTCACGGTTATAAGCTTTATTTTCGTATACAAATTTTGGAAACCTGAATTACTACATGTTTGATTTATTTGCAGTTTGCTAGAAATTATTCAAAATAAATAAATACCCATATATTCGTGGAAAGGGAGGATTTTTAGTTGATGGAAGGTCATTTCAATGAAGGCTTGTGTGATTTGTCAAAATACGTCTTCGGGTCTTTACTATACTCCGGAGTGAAAAAGTTTAGAGATTTTTAAAAAATCTATATACTCTACATTTTGGAAACTATAACAGGATATGTTGTACATTTTTCCGGAAGTGTAATAAAAAACTTCTTTGAAGAGTGACACCCTTAGAATACTTCTACATAACTTACGTTAGTCAAATATTTGAAGGCCTAGCTCTATTTATCAGTTTTTCAAATTCAGTTTTCTTTAGTCATATCTTAATTTGGTACCGATACATCTTATCTTCAAAACTAGTTCAAAAATCTGCACCCACATCAGTTATTAGGTAAAATATCTAGAATAACGTTATCTCGATTTTATTGATGTTTAATAGGTGTTAAATGATACACCAAGTAGATTTTTTACGACACTATAAAGCAAACCAGCTTTATCGCTTCAATAAATGCTGGAATTAATTACCATCCAGACTGTCGCGAGCTTAGCTTGCAAAACAAGCAATCGATATCCGATACACTTATTTTTCCAATGAATCCTTTAGTAACTTTCCTCCTTTTCCTAAACATGGAAGAACACTCTGCCAACCCATTCAGTGTGTAACACAGTAATCTGAAGTTCAATGTCTGGGCCTTGCTCTACTTTGGAAGAGCTCATCAATCGATCGGACGTTCCGTCTAGACCTAGACATTTATCTCGTCTTAAGGTTAAAGGGGATGAAATGTATCTTCCTTGATATATGGATATGAGGCTATTTTCACTATGTTTGCAAAGTTGATGTAATAGGTCATATATCTGACTTTGTTATCAGATCAATAAAAGTGTCCACTGATAAAAACGGAGCTGTTGTGGACCTTTAGTTAATTTCCGCTACCATAATGGAATACTTTCCTGAGTATGCACTTTTTTACTCCCTACGCCATTGGCGAGAAAATATTAATCGCAAATAACTTCGAAAATGAGATATGTCTTTAGATGTTGTATGATATCTACATCGTATATGTGTTTACAAATTAATTATTTCTTGCTATTAAAATCATATTTATCTAATAGACAACCGTTTGTATATGATATAACAAAGATTACTGTTTTCGACCCGTCAAACCACTCAAATGATCTTTGACATGGAATTAGGTCGCACTCTCCAGAGATCGGTCTTGACTCAAACACTGGTTCAGTTACATCTTAAAGACCTCATCTCCTGTGGATCAATGCGATCCACAGCTTTGCGGCGGACGTTACCTTGAATGTAGGTATTCAGAGTACCAAGCCATTCTCTGCCGATGAGCTGGAGCGAAGACGAACAGCGACTTCGTCTCAGTCGAGTAATCTGGAGGCAATCACTGCATGGGGACTCCACAATCTGATACAGTTTAATGCTTCCAAAACAGAGTACTGTGTCTTGACAAAAATCTCATGCACAGATACGACCTAATTAGTGTCAAATATTATTTGAGTGCTTTAATAGGCGCAATAAAGAATTTTAAGGAACGAGATATTACTCAGTTTTATTCATCACCTTTGGTCTTTGATATCTCTAAGACTGCCACTTAAAAAAGTTATCCCATCTAGACATTTCATCATGACATCATAATCTACAACATACTATAAATTCAACCAACTCCACTGTCACGTTTTGTGTGGTACTCTTTCTAGATCGCAACGTTGTCAGTTGAGTGGGGACTATAAACTAATAATTGTATAGACCACTTGACTCAATTGACCCATTTATATTTTTTGTTATGCATGTTCGTAACTATGTTCTCAAAGGGGTTGAATTGTGGCGAACGTAATTCTGTATGAACAGATGTCAGTTTCCCCCACTTTTTCGATATTTTTTGGGTTTCATTTCTGGGTGTAGTAGTAAGAATTTTGACCTTACCTATTCATACATTTTGAAATCGGGCATCTAGAATCAGATAACCTATTCATTCATTTTTTTATAATGCGTTTAGCCACCGCGACTATACCTAATAAATAAAATAAAAATATCTCTACAGGAGAAACACAATCAAGATGTACCGGCTCACCATACTCTGCATCTTCACAATAGCTATATCCTGGGCTCAACAGCCTCTTGAACCACCCATCACAAGCTACGACTACATCGTGAAATTCACTATCAACATGGACGAAAACAAAGTTCCATATTACATCGTAAATGGAATATACAACAACCGATTTGAAGGAAACGTAACTGTCGATGACGTCATACAGCTGTACAGGATTAGGCAGTTGTCTCTGGACCAAGCAAAGCTGGTGCTGAATTCCATGGATGTTCCGACTGACACGGTGTTTTCAGAGGATACATTCGAAACTGTTTTGAAAGACTTGAGGTTGGACTTTACTACGTTCTACAGCAATGTCTTTTTGCTTTCGTTTGGTACTTCTGGTGAACCGTTAAGGAAATTCTTGGAAACTTTAGGTGGGTAACAATCATTTCTCATAAAGGCCTGTATGACACAACACTATACCGCCCACTAACAATGCAACAATGCTACTTAGTCAACTTAGTTGAAATTTTGTTTTTTTTATAATGGCCCTGCCGATGCGCACATCGCTTTGGTGATTCAAGGAATCAACAAATCATTTTACTTATCACTAACGTGATGCGCGCATTGGAATGTACCTTTAACATTTTTATATACAGGATGTAAAGTTAGAAGTTGATCAACGGAAGTCAGGTAATAGAGGGCCTCAAAACCTATCAAAGGAACCCCTATATGTGTGGTCCGAAAATTTATAGTTCAGGAGATATTTGCAATTTTGTCACTTTTTAACAGAGCTTATTAGAAATCAACGCAAAAAATCTTACAATTCATTTTGAAGATGTCGCTTGTGTATAGAAAATAATGGAGGCCATTTCGAACATGTTTTAACTAGTCTCAAAAAAAAATCACAGCCCTAAACCTTATGGTTTAGTCGTAATTGCGATTGAAAGTTCATTATCCCGTTTTTTTTGTCGAAATCTCGCAAAATTGCAAATATCTCCTGAACTATAAAATTTCGGACCTCACATATAGGGGTTCATTCGATATGTTTTTAGGTCCCTTATCACCTGACTTCCGTTGATCCACTACTAACTTTACACAATGTATATTTCTATACAGGGTAATTCATCCACGTCGGGACGGAATATTGCTTCTAAACAAAAACTTTTCAACAATATGGGTTATTAGATATGGTATCTAGGACCACGTTTCTAAAATATCCACAATTATACAGAGTGTTAAAAATGGCGATCCGAATCTCATAGTTGGGTTTTTCTAAATGGATTGCCCTACTTGCATTACATAAGCAGTTGGACCTTTTTAAAAGACGATTTAGTAACATATTTGTGGGTTTTAAGTGAAAAACATTAAAATTTAAAAGCCTGTTTGAGTGATGAATGTTGCGTAAGCATTTATTATTCTCAGTTTCAACCTAAATTATCCGATTCTTCTTCAACTTTTTGGTTGATCAATACAAGTTAGTTAAAAACGCAGTGTACTACTTTTTCCTAAAAAAATTGAATGTAACACTGTGTACCTATAATTTGTGTGTGCTGGGGTTATTTCATTTTTTTCATAAATTGCAGGCTAGGACAAACAAAAATTGCATTATTCGTGAAATATAAATATTAGATTTATAGTTGAAACTAAACCCTCATCTAATGACACTGATTTTTTTCCATGGACTCCAACAAAGTCTTTGTCTATGGCACGAAATTGAACAGTGAAAGGTTGATTTTATTCTAAAAATGAAATGTGTTATATTTTGTATAGAAAAGTATGACAGAAACAATCTTTTGGGTCTTAAATTATACAAGGAAACGCAGAGTTAGTTTGGCTAATAAATAAACAACTCATTTATTTAATTAGTATTTGTAAATGTATTATGTAGTCGGCTTGATAAGCTTTAAACATAACAAAAAAAATGGCATCAAGAATGAAGAATAAAACGGTAAATCATTCTGAATCCTAATTTCATGATTACGCTCTAACGATCTACGGTATCCCTTTGATGTCCAATTTGAAATTAGAATATTCGAATAAACGATGACTATCACTTTTTTTTTTTTTTTTATATATCGAAACAGCCGCGCAGGCAGAAGCCTAAATGCCGGAACACCGCGGCTGCTATGATGATCCCAAAGAAACCTTGTTAATACGATTTTTGAACTGCCTAAGGTTAGTAGAACTGGGAAAAGCTTCCTCCCGTAGTTTGTTCCACAATCTAGACACCCTTGGGACAAAGGAGCGGTCGTATCGGCCAGTTCTGGATGAACGAAGTTTGACACGGTTAGTATGGGACGCCGAAGTCAGGCGGGTCTGTCTGGCAGGCACATCGCGCGGCGGCATCATGGAAGAGAGCTCTGAGGAGCAAAGCCCGTTGGTGCAGCGATAGAAAAGAGCCAGATCGCCGACGGCCCGCCGGTGCGAAAGAGTCCCGAGACTGTCTGTTAGAGAAGAGTCATCGATCAGTCGGACCGCCCTCCTCTGGACAGCATCGAGCATGGACAATGTAGTCGGGGCGGCAGCACCCCAAATGTGTGAGCAATGCTCGAGGCGAGGCCTTATCTGGGCCTTGTATAGAGTGAGAAGGTCATGCGGAGAAAAGTACTTCTTAGCCCTAAACAAATAGCCTAGCTTTTTCCCAGCAGCTGCAGCTATTGAAGAGATGTGTTCGTGCCAGATCAGGTCCTCGGTGATCTGGACTCCGACCAGCCGAAATGAATGGCTCTTTGGTAGAACTCGACCGTCCATCGAAACTGTATGAGCGCTAGGACGCTTTTTGTTCGTCAAAGTACAGTACTGTGTTTTGGAAGCATTGAACTGTACAAGATTGTTGCGTCCCCAAGCAGTGATAGCCTCCAGGTCTCTTGTCAGAGAAGAAGTCGTCGCTAGTCTTCTTTTTTCCAGCTCAGCGGCAGAGATCGGCTTGTCACTCTGAATTCCTGCATGTAGAGTGCTGTCATCAGCGAAGCTGTGGATTGGGTTGATCGTGCAGGAAAGGAGGTCGTTGATATGTAAGAGAAACAGTGTTGGAGCCAAGACCGATCCCTGGGGAACACCCGCGTTGACGTTGTGGGATGAAGAGGAGAATCCGTCAATTACGACGGATATCTTGCGGCCAGAGATAAAGTCAGCCACCCATCTGCAAAGCTTTTCCGGGAGGCCGTAGGATGGAAGTTTGCTCAAGAGGGCAGCGTGCCACAGCTGATCGAACGCTTTCGTGATGTCAAGCCTCACCATGAGACTGGACGAGTTTACTCCACAGTTGCGTGACATAAGCTAGGAGGTCCCCTGTGGATCGTTGGTGCCGGAAACCGTACTGCCTGTCGCTAATCAAGCTGTGACGTTCGAGGTAGTCCAGAAGCTCGCGATTTATGCACCTCTCCATCACTTTACTTATAACAGAAAGCAGAGCTATAGGCCTGTAGTTGTAAGGGTCGGTTTTAGATCCTTTTTTTGGGATGGGCTGTACATGAGCAAATTTCCAGTTTTCTGGGAAGGTGCCGGATTCATAAGATATCTGGAAGAGACGCGAAAGAACTGGAGCAAGCTCAGCTGCACATCTCTTCAGTACAATGGCAGGAATCAAGTCCGGACCAGAAGCTTTGTTGATATCGAGCGACAAGAGCACTCGTCTTACGGTCTTATGCCTGAATGTTACCTCCCGCATAGTGTGGGGAACCCTTTGAATTGACGGCACTTGGGCGTTGGTGGGGACGTCCGTGGTGGAGTTGGCAGCAAAGATCTTGGCTAGCACTTCCGCCTTGGCCTTTGAGTCGAATACAATAGTTCCATCATGACACGTAAGTGGTGGAAGGCTACTGTGTGAGAAGTTCTTTTCAATCTGCTTGGCCAGCGTCCAGAAAGACCGACTGCCATTGCGCTGCGACATTACCCTGTGCCTAACTTTTATATCATGCTGGGTTTTGGCATTGCGAACCGCTTCGTTATATTTGTTTCTGGACTCGACGTCCGCTTGTCTGTTCTCTACAGTGGGGTTTTGTAAGTAGCTTCTGTGGGCCTTGATCTTCTGCTGGCGAGCAGTGTCACACGATTTGTTGAACCAGCCGTTGGACCCTGCTTTAGGAACTTTCACTGTGTGAGGGATGTATTCCTCCATTCCGACGAGGATAATTTCGGTTATTGAAGAACAGACAGTCGACGCATCCGCGTCAGTGAAACAGACATCTCTCCAAGGAAAGCTAGAGAAGAAGTCTCTGAGCCCCTCCCAGTCGGCATGTCCGTAATGCCAAGTTTTGCGGCCTGTGCGAGTTTCTGCGGCCACAGCGGCTTCTGACCGAAACCTAACCTCCACAACACCGTGATCTGAGTTACCAAGGGGGGACAGGACGGCTGTGCTGTAAGGGGCAGGATACGTGGTCAGAAAGAGATCCAGCAGGCTACTGGCGTGTGACGAGACGCGGGGGAAAAAAGTAGGGCTCGTCACCAGCTGGGTCAGCCCTTGAGTAAGAGCGAACGCTTCGACTGCACGACCTTCTGCAACGGTCTTATTTGAGCCCAACCAAAGCTCATTATGGGCATTGAAATCACCGAGAAGAACTACCTCTGAAGCGGGGTGATTGATGTTCAGGAAGTCGATCCGGACGGCGAGGTATTCGAGTAGGTCATGCCAGTTATGGTTCGAGGGAGAGCGATAAAGGCAGCAAATAAATTTGGGTGATGTTTTGGAGTTGAGGCGAAGCCACAGAATGTCCTTCCGGTCTGATTCCAAAGAAAGATCCCTGGAGCAGGAAAGACTGCTGCGGACAAAAGCCACAACTCCCCCGTTCTTTCTCAGATTGGAGTGCACCTCGTAGTTTGGGAAGTTGAGATGGTTAATCGGTGCAGCCTCTGAGATTTTTGTCTCCGCCAAGAAAAGCACGGCGGGACGATTGGATTGCAGGTAGTGATGAACAGCATCAATGTTGCTGTTGATCCCGCAGATGTTCGAAAAACAAATTTTATCTTCGATGTTGTTCCCTCGAGCCCACCCTCCACCCGGACATTCCGAGAGTGGAGTGAGTTTACGTTTACTGCGCGTATTCTATTTCCTACATTCTTTATGGTAGATTGTAGCTAATCCATCACTTGTCTTTTATTTGGATGTTGTGTTATTTTTATATTCTTGTTAAATCCCTGCTTTCGGGGGTATTCAATTATTAATTACCTATAACTCAAAAACTAGTGATATAAGATCTCTTTAGCTTTATATCATGAAAAGCTTACAAAAAGTGTTTGATTTCTTTTTTTAAAGAACATTTATGCTTTTGTCCACCCTACATTGATGAATCACAATTAAAAAAGTGGTGGCAACCCGTTCTGTGCCACATCTCAGATTGATCATCATCATTCGCTTCCCATCTAGTTTCGCTATTATTTGACTCGCTGTATGAAATTGCAGTAGTAGTTATAGCATTCAAGAATTATGTGAGAAGCAAAGTAAATTAATTTCAAGCCGAAGTGATAGGTTTTAATGCTAATGTAACATTACCAATTAAAATGTCTTTTTACTCGTCTGTCATAAATTACAAAAATATAAACGATCTACCGAGGAGGGCAATAATGCCTCATAACTTATTTAATCTCCCTTGTTCGACACTATTTAAAACAATAAAGGAGTAAAATGTTATTTACTGAAAACACTGAGATGTGTTTATTAGACCTCGTATTCAAAGCAATGCCTTTTTTGCAAAATATTGTGTAGTTTTTTCTAAATTTGGTGATAGTACCCTAGGAAACTCACGTTACCACTTTATCCTCTCCAGTCTGAAATCCTGGGAGCACCACTGATTGGAACCTGTATAACTGAGAGTATTTTTGAAATAAGCCTATAGATATAATAGTTTTCTTTTTAAAAGTGTTTAGAGAATAAGAATAAGATGGAAATTTTGCGAATGAATATAAAACATACAAAAATTTTCAAAAGTTACTACAAAAACATTTTTTGCGGGACTCTTAAAAATATATAGACCCAAAACGGCACTACTTAAAATCGTTTTTTCCTAAATAACTTGAACGACTCTATAATCCAACGAAATTTTGACTTGATGGTATCTTGATGCTTTAGTTGCAAAAACATATTCCTGTTAGATTTCAATAAAATTATATATACTCTTCCTATCAATTTACACTGCAGTCAGTTCCCAAAAATCTAAAATTCGATACAGTAATCCAGGAGCTTATCAGGTCGCTAGTTACTCACCAACTTATCGTCAAAATTACCGTGTTTAATGATTTATGTTAAGTCTATAGGCATCAAACATGGATACATTTTTAACTAAAGAGTCAGGATTTCCCAAAATATCTTTGAGCCATTATTATAAAGAATGTAAAAACTACCGCCAATATTTCGTTAGGGTTAGCTTTGCATGAGCCCAACAGTCAAAATTGTATTGAATTATACTAAGCGACATATAAATCCGAACACCCAGTTTAAATGGTTTTATTTTAATAAAAGATGGTGAATGTATTTATCTTACTGTAAATAACAAGTGACAAAATTTTCAGCCTTATCAGCTGGACATTTCGGTTTTTATACTGCTTTTTTTTAATTCACTAACGCTCTGAAAATGAATATTTCAGCCGCAGTAACGAATCAACGTTGGCGGATTTTGGTTCTTGACATCATTTACGATCGGTTACGATGCCTAGAGTACGGAGACCTGTACGATTTCGTCAACTTAGTGAGTTTGATAGGGGCCGTATAGTGGGACTCCGGGAAGCTGGACTTTCTTTTCGGGCAATTGCAGTTAGAGTGCAAAGACGTGTAGACACCGTGGTTAGGTGTTGTCAGGCATGGCTTCGAGAAGGCCGTACGCAAAAGGCAAGTGGCACTGGATGCCGCCGTAGAACAACAGACCGTGAAGATCGCCGCCTAAGATTATTGGCCTTAGGTGACCGTTTCTCCACTACCAGGTCCATTGCAAATGAATGGTTTGCAGAACACGGAAGACCTATTGGCATGCGAAGTGTTTACCGACGAATGAGAAGTTTTGGCTTGTTTTCATACCGGCCACACTGGGTCCTCCCTTTAACTCGAGAACACCGACGTAATCGCCTTGAGTGGTGCAGACAACGGTCACTCTGGGATCAGGAATGGAACAGTATTGTCTTTAGTGACGAGTCTCGATTTTGTTTAGGCATGCACGATGGTCGTGCCAGGGTTAGAAGGCGACGTGGTGAAAGGAGGAATCCACAGTTTTTTGTTGAAAGACATGTTCATCACACTGTTGGAGTTATGGTTTTGGATGCTATAGCTTATGGTTCCAGGTCACCTTAAATCTTCATCAGAGGTAACATGAACGCGCAGCGTTATATCCACGAAGTTCTAGAACCCCATCTTTTACCCTATCTTGACACCCTGGCAGATCCAACTTTCCAACAAGATAATGCCCGACCACATGTTGCAAGAGTCACAATAGACTTCTTTCAACATAATGATGTCACATTGTTACCATGGCCACCAAGATCTCCCGACTTATCCCCAATTGAGCACGTGTGGGATATAATGGGTAGGAGATTGCTCAATTTGCAACGTCCTCCTCAGACTCTAGAAGCACTTCGAGAGGAGTTGGTGGTTGCCTGGAATGAGATACCACAGGAGGACATTGACCACCTGATCAGAAGCATGCCTAGGCGCGTTGGAGAATGCGTTGCACATCAGGGTGCATCCACACATTATTAAAGGTCAAAGGGCTTTAAAGCAGTGCAATCATTTTGAATTTTTTATCATTTACTTATTATGCTTCATAAGTACTTATACAAAATTTTATTAAAATAAAACCATTTAAACTGGGTGTTCGGATTTATATGTCACTTAGTATATTCAGTTAAGAAAAACCGACCAGTGGTGTCCTTTTGGTACCGGTATCTTTGTAGAGAAGCTTGTAGCATTTTTATAGGAACTTGTGAAATTGTTTCTTGTGTACTCTCTGCTCTCGAGAAATTGACATCTTGTTCTGTGATATTTTGTATCTTTACGTAATTAATATTTTTTCTGCTTTAGATATCGACTTGCCAGCGTTTACATCATCCATTGTACTCGGAATGGGTGACCCACTGGACGTAATAAAACAAGGCAACTTCTCTAACCTCGAACCAGCTCTTAACGAAATTGGAAAAACTCCTAATGACCTATACAAAGCAAGCATGAACACCTTTGCTGACGCTGCAGTTAAGCTATCACTTCGTGAATTTGTCGAAATATTGAAGAAAAACGGTTTAACAGAAGCTAAAGCTTTGATCTTATGGAACACAATTGGTATTGATGTTCGTGACATATACTTAAATCAGGACTTCAACAAACTTTTGCTCGAAACGAATATGGACCTTAGGAAAGATGTAGTAGGGGTACTTATAGGAAACAACAGTATTGTGACAGATATAAATGTAGGGATTTTTCTCAAGGAAGCTAAGCAAATATCAAGAATCGAAGCGAAGCCTTTGAATGATACTTTAGAACTGAAGGACATCAAACCAGCCTATTCGAGCTTCGAAAGTTTAGCAGTACTGAATTTCCAAAGTGAACATAATACTAGTTACATTTCGTATGGGATGTTGAATGGAAAAGAAGAAAACTGTACTTTCATAACATTGAGAAACGACACTATTGTAACGGAAATTGTGACGCCTGTCGATAAAAAGACTCACGTTGAAATTGAAAGTAAAATGCCTTCAGAATACGTGATCCCTGGAAGTCCTTTGGTGTGTGATGATAAGGTTTACGGTTTGGCCCGGGACAATGGTCACAGTTCTGGAATTGTCATTTTAGACAATTTCAGAGAAATCACTTCCGGTACAAACATGTTAAGTAGTTGTTTAGTAGTCTTGATTATCGGTATTATTAATATGATACTGTGATGACTGTATTTAAGTAAGATGATTCCTGTGACATCAGTGTTCAGAAAAGACTAGTCTTTCTACAGTTTTGAAAAATGATTTACCCATCAGCATTAGAAGTAAACATACCTAGATACATTTTTCTAATTGTAATACTAAAACATACGATTCTCATTTGGCTATAATACGAACTTCATATCATCGATGGAACATAGCAAAACTACCTCCAGAGACCAATTATTATGCTGTTGTAGCTGTCTCGAATACTAATTTACTTTGGTATAACCAATATCTCAATTGTTACCTCGCTTTTACTCGGGATAATAAAGATGCGAAGAACATCGATTTTGTATGTTGTATTTGCATTTCCGCTAATGTAATAAAGTATATGACAGCCGATATTTGTTTTTTTCCAAGATTCCGTTTCTCTATGAGAAGCAAGCAGGTATACCTAGTTTTTTGTGCAATGCCAGAGATTTTTACTTAGGATACTTCATGGATAGTGGAAAATAACTTGTATGTAAATAGTATTTACTCAACCTCAACACTTGTTTAGCAGGGTATTCCACAGAGATCCTCCTTGGGACCCCTGTTGTTTTTGCTGTATTGTAAATGGACTCTCTGAGCGATTTATTTTTGGCTCAATCTGTGAGTATGCAGATGTTATAGTTGTAGTCACCGTTCTTGGCGGGTCAAAGTAAGACTACCAGTATCCCTCTATCCTCTATATATCTCCATCTCCCTCATACATACACATGCAACCTACCCCTGTGTGTGAACGTTTGTTCGGTAAGCTCAGACATACGTATTTTAGTTATGTCTCCGTCTCGAAAACTTTGTCGTTACGTATGAGTGCCCTTCAATCATATTTGTCGGAGTTACAACTTACTTGACATGGGCATGTAATTTAAGTTGTCCTGTTATAAATCTTCAATATAAAATTGTACAATGCCCGGAAACACGATCAATCGAGAAGGCCGACAGGTCGTGCTAAGTTTATTAGAGTATTTCCAGGAAAAGAATGAAAACAGCGCTACCTTCTTACCCACTTCATGCATACTGGAGACAGTAGCAGATGCGCCGATGCTTAAGATCCGCCCATGGTACGGAGACTCAATCTGTTTACTTACTTCATATAGCGTTGATGACGTAACCGGCTAGAACGGTGACTACAATTTTACATCTGTTCACATGCGATAAACGTTATGGTGCAAGAACTATTCGTTTTGAGGTTGAATGCTTACAAAACTGTTACATTCAGAAAACCAGCAAATAAGGATGAGCCAGTGATGGTTCGTTATTGATCATGCTTCGATAACAGAGGTCGATAGTGCGAGATTGCTTGGTTATGACGTTACACTGAACTAAAACTAACTACCAAACTGCATCACTCATCAAGAACTGCATAGCATCTGTGCTAATTCGTCGTCTTCGTGATGAAGCTACGGTTTTAACACTCCGTCAATTGTACTTTGCATCGATTCAGTCTTTAATTGCATATATTCTCATGTTTCAGCGTTCATCACGGGATGCCTTATCAGTTTTTATAGCTCCAGAACTAGGTGCGAGCCCGGGCTGCATCTTCCGATTTGTTCAAGAAGTGGACCTTTAAAATGCGCTATTTTTGTACTGCCTATCACTTGTCTTGTGCTGGAAACATTCAAACCTATTTAACTGCAACCATCACCACTACGCAGGTAATATAACCATTGAAACCAGGGGATGAGGTGACTCAGGCATACCTCTCATGCTACCAGAAAACATTAAAAGTGCAACCGTCAAGTTGAGGAAATTCCACATCACAGCGCGACTTTAGGTGAATGCAAACGTCTTTGATTCAATTCTCGAGGATTGGTGTCAGCCCAGTAGCGCATGTTTTGTTTCATGACGGATGCACACACTGAAAAAACAACATCGTCCTCAGGAGACGCTCACATGCGCTCTTCCGAGAGTTAAGTCACGTACGTTTATGCACATCTTCCTATTCTAACTATACTATAGCGATAGCTAGGGTATCGACGTCCTTTTCTCAGCAATAAGCTTAAACTTTTGGATATATTCTGCATGTGGTAGACAATTTTCCATCCATCAAGGAATTCCATTTTTCCTTCAGCCCTGGATCGCCAAGTTGCCTTTGTGGTGGATCCAGTAAAGGTCACGAAGTTAGCCGACCAATTCGACACTGTTGTTGACGACGTGACCAAGTAACCATTATTACAAGAGTTTAGGGTTATCATAAACGCCAATCTAAGGTAAAAGGTTTAAACTCAGATAAGAATGTCCTACGCGTAAACAGCATGGTCATTTTTAAGTGAGTGATGCGTAATCCACCGTCAAAAAGCTTGTATTGTGATAGTCATCGGTAGTTCTCCTATTGCAGAAAATCATCGCCAATAAAAATTTTCATCATTAATGTCTCTTGTCAGAATTCGGATTTGGTTAGTACATAATATAAGTATGATGATTATTCTTCCGATTTCTTCTAATTTTCCTCTGAAGCTGTTAACATAGCGTGTAATAACAAACCGGTTTGGCGTGTGACAACACTTTGTAGTTGTAGATAGTTCCACTATCCCATATTATCAATATCATACTGAGGCATCACGGAGCAAATTTTGTACAAATCCTTGCTTCTTCCGATGATAATAGTTGAAATCATTCACCATTCTACTCCTTCCAGCAGTTAATGTTTGCAGAATTCTAAACGGCAATTGTTGAGCTTTATGTATAATGTATCAAACTATCACTGTGAAAAGCAATACATGACCGGGAAGCTTTCATAATCTTGAAGTATCTCCATAATATGTCAGTGGCAGCATATGATTCTCAAGTAAGGAATTTTCATTCTGGGCTACCTGGAACCGCGTCGTGAACTCACTCACCTCCCGGTGGCCAACTTACAGTGCACATCCTAGATCCTTTTGCCATAAAGGCACTAAACATCGGCATGTCACCTTTCACTGAAAACCATTCACCTTGTAGCCAACTGTACCAGACTTGCTCAGTACCTTGAAGACCAAACACTTTCTCCTATTAAAATCGAGTCTACACGCACTTGAAATACATCACATCACACTTCAAGCACTCAAAAAATTTGCTTTGATGAGATGAACAAATCCATCGTCGGCAAGTCTTCCCACCATTTTCATGTTGCAGTACCTCTACGTGCATCTCTGACATATCTCAATTTCTTATGTTGAGAACCGTTATCACTTAGACAAATCCACCGACATTTACAGTTGAATTTTTTGAAACAAAAAAAAATCATTTCGAATAAAAATCATATATAGATAATATTGCGCCCACCTCGTATGTCACCGCACCGCTTGCTCTCTGCTTTTCTAAGTCTCTCGGATCGAGTACCAAAGATGAAATATAACCCCATTGCACACGGCATCTCCGTTGCCACTAGGAGCGTTTTTCAAAAACGAAAAAGCTTTTTCGTCCTTGGCATAGTAGCCTTGTGTAAAAATTTCATTCGAATCCGACCAACACTTTCCAATTTATACAGCGGTCAAGTCAGACCAACAGAACAAACCGCCGGAAATCAGTGACATGTTTTTTCCATGAATTACATGTCATTATGTATATCTAAAAAACATAACATCTCATTTTCGAAATTTTTCGTGATTACAATACTCCATCACCACTAGGCGTGGGAAGTAAAACAAGGTCCCCCTATTTATTTTTTGAATGAGTCAAGTTAGGAGGCTGAAATTCAGGGTGATGAAACTGATGCATGAATACTATATTTCAGCATAGGAGTGGCGGTTGTAGATTTCAAGATGACGGCTGGGCGTCAATTTTTAACATTTTTTTAACGGCTTTGAGGATCCTGTCTTATCTGATTTTGAAGCCACTTAAGAGTTCTTCATAACCCTAGAATCTAAAATCACTATATTTCAAAATGGCGATCTGGCTGGCTGCTAACGCTGAGTTCTTCTGGAACGTGTCTATTCGAGTATGTAATATGATACAGAATTCTGCATTTAAAAGAATTGTCAAAAGATGTCATTTTTTCAAAACTGAATGTCCCATATTAGATTGCACGATCAGATAGATTCTTCCAAGAGAAGAAGATTGATATAAGATGCTCCACCGTTTCGATACTTAGTGAGATAAGCGATGTAATATACAAATTTGACATCCTGCCACTCCGCCATTTTAAAAGATAGTAACTTTATGTTCCAGGGCTATAAAGTACTCATAATGAACATCAAAACATGACCCCTTATTCCATTTTAAAAATATTCAAAACATGCCGCCATCTTGGAATTATCAACTATTATTTTTACGTTAAAATATAGTATCGTGCATCAATTTTCCAACAATATCGAGGGGGCAGCTTTCTGAAAAGCACTGTATATTGGGGATTAAATCTATTTAAAACGGAAAATTATATCGCTCTTGTCGGCTACTTTGATTCTACTAAAAACAATTTTATTGAAAACTTGACTCCTGAATAAAGCATTTTAGGGAGTTTTTTATAGGACGGGCGGCACCTTGTATAGTGAATACACTTTTGTAACTCCCAAATCGGTAAATTTGTATGGCAAACCCTCCAGGAACTACGCAAATCTAAAAAGGTCTAATATACCTGAATCCCAAACTCTACATCCTGGCATGCGAACGGACGCGGCGATCACAACTTCCTTCTTCACTAACCTCCAGGACATTTGTTATGCGTACCTCTACAGCTCCATCAGCAATAAGTTATAGGGCTCTATCGTTTTCTAACGTACCAGAACTAGTGAGCACGAATCCCACAAAAAATATTCTTGAAGACTCCAGCAAAGTATCACCATCAACACCAGAAGTAACATTTTCCAGATACTGCTTCAGACAAATCCATTCCCTCTTCACTGCAGAACTCACTAAACTTGTTGGGCAACCCTCTTTATACACAAAAAGGTAAACACAAATCAAAGGTTACCTATACATTCTGACTACTGTAAAAAAAGGCTATATACTCGCTTAAACATTTACTGCCTAACATATTTTTGATATACATACAGAGTGTTACTGTTCCAATAGAACATATCCATAAGACATCGAAAAGAACATATATGTAATACTATTTTATACATAGCAAATCTTTCACCTACAGTCCTCTAAACTAGAAGGCCAAGAACTATATTTTTATGCTTTCACTGTGAAATATTCAAACTCAAAACCAAAAATAAGAGGCCTGTTAGTTGTGCCGCTTATTGCTTTTTCATGCGTCTTTAAATTCGGAAATCACCATTTCACAGTTACAGTGATATATTTGCTACTCGTCTCACAAATTGGTCTCCAGCTTAGGCCCGTATCGTCAGTAGTACCTACAATTGTAGTGCGCCTTTATGGCCTCCTTGATTGTCATAGTTTTCTACTTCTCCGTGTCAGCGCTATATTTTG